AAATCCTACGAAATTTGGGGATCAAATTTGGAAACTTGTGCTTTCCAGGCAGGCACTTATGTTGCTGAGCTGTATTCCCAGCTCTCCTGCAAAATCTTGAGGTCGCCATAGATCAGCCCTGGTCTCCAAGTGTCACTGAACCTGATTCTAGGCTATCACAAGTAAAAATGATTCACTTGGAGCAAATTCTTGTTTAAAAATACTCTCTGCGAGATAACCCCTGACCATTGTGTGCGTTGTGATTCCACTGCTCATTGATCTCTTTTACATCTTCTCCTTTCCCTCACTTTAAAACAATTTCCCTTGCAGTTTTTTCATTTGATTGCTTCTCTCCCAATAAAGATTGCAAAATATTCATGTAAGTCTTTGGAAATACTTTGCTGTCACAAAGTCAGGATTGGGAAGCAAGTATGCAAAGTTATAAAGGCATCTAGGTCTGTTACTATCCCTAGTTCTCCTAAAAATGATTGCATGAATTTATAATTCCAGGGTACAAAATAAGAAAATTGTTTAGTGGGCTCAGACCTAGCACACCCCTGGTAGCCAGGAAATGTTCTGGAAGTTTCTAACGTTGTCTGTGGTCTTCTTACATTCCCTGCATGTGTGCCTGGTTTTTGTTGTGTTGTATTTTTTTTTTTTTTTTTTGTCTGATTTGAATTTGACTTTTGTGGAACATTTTTTGCATGCTACTATTTGGATTTGTTTTACAATTTAAAGATTATTTTCTTCCTTTGCATCTGTGCTTTTCTTTTGTTATTTTGTTTTGTTTTGTTTTGTTTTTACTAGGCGACCCCCTCCTGCAGTTCCAGGACGGCCATCTTAACCTCCATCCTTCATCTCCTTTGTGTCCAACAACATGTCTGTTTGTGGTATTTAAAAGCCTTCCATTTGCACTGTGTCACATGTACATAAAAACTTTTATTTTTGATCTTTGTCTATAATAAAAATAAAGTTTATTCTATATAAAAAATTTAAATGTTTGTTGCTTTTTCTGAAGACTCGAATTAAAATAAGAATTTGTTTCAACTAAAAACAGGTAAGGTGAACAATACATAACTTGATATTTTAAGGAGATCAATGGAAAATATTTCACTTCTTAAAGCATTGTGATTGAAGATATTCTTTGGCAGAGAATAATATTCTATCTTCAACTGAAATTTCTACCCAAAAGAAAAATGAAAGGATGAAGAATAATTCTGATTATCTAGAAGAGACACAGAAGACCATGCAATTTCAGTCTGCCTCTAGAAATCCCTTTAATAATTATTATACCAAAATATTTTTACTGATTTTATCATTTTTCTAAATACTGAAGAATTAAAATATGTAAGATCACCAAAAAAATGGAGGTCTGCAACAATTTCCCAAATTTTATTTGGCAAATTCAAGAGTTTAAAAAAAAAAACTATCACAAACTGGACACAGTGGGGCCAGGGAGATGGCTCAGTACAATAAGCACTTCCCTGGCAAGCGCAGGGTCTGAGTTCAATCCCCGGTTCTGCACAAATAAATAAATAGATAAATACAAACTGGGCACAGTGGCCTATGCCTGTAATTCCAGCTACTCATGAGACTGAGGCAGGAGGATCTCAAGCTGAAGGCCAGCCTGAGCAACTCAGCATGACCCTCCTGTCGGGGAAGGACAGGAAGGAGGGGAGAGAGAGAAAGGAGGGAAGAGGAAAGGGAGAGGGGAAAAGGAGGGAGAGAGAAAAGGAGGAAAGGAGGGAAGAGGAAGGGAGGGAGGATAGAGGGAGAAAGGAAAAAAGGGAGGGGAAAGGAAGGAATTAAGGAAGGAGCCCATTCAAACTGTAAGTAAAGTGCTCGCTTCGGCAGCACATATACTAAAATTGGAACGATACAGAGAAGATTAGCATGGCCCCTGCGCAAGGATGACATGCAAATTCGTGAAGCGGTCCATATTTTTAAAAATACCTGTTCCTTATTATGCCTAAGATGTTTGAAATGCAGAGAGATAGTGAGGTTAAGCTTAATAGCCTAAGTCGTTTGATAATAACAATAAGCTTGTCTTCTGGATGGTTAACAACCTAAGTTTGCAGACCAAAATTAGAGAAATAGGAAGGCTACAAGGAAAGCCAATATTTTGGCCCTAACCTTCTAAGGTCAATCAAGACTCAGGACATATGAGAACTTGTACTGTAACGTCATGTACCTCGGTAGTGTCCCAAATTTTCTGATCAAGAAGATTATGGGGCCAAAGAGGAAAGTGATTGATGATGTAGAGTGTGCCTAAGGAGAGTCACATGGAGAGAAAACATTCTCTCAGGCTTTCACAGAGAGCACATTGGCCAAGCAATGGCCATGACTCATCCACATGGCTGACACTGACAAAGGTTCTACAATCTGAGGTACAGGATCTCAGGATAAATCCTGAGGGGATTTCACTGACCTTCTTAGACCCAAAAGCTACAACTCTTGTTGCATAGGTCCTGCTTTTCCTTGGTCTTAACCATCCAGTAGAAAAGTATGAAGTCGAAATATAAGAAATAAAGCCATGCTGTTAAGTTGAGCTGTGGGGGACTCAGGTCAATAATTTCTGACATTGCCAGTTAAACAGAAGACCCAACGCTATTTTGGGCTACTGGACTCATTTAGAATATTTTGCTGAGTTTACACACCTATAATATTCAAATAACAGAACTTAGAAAAAAAGGGGTATACCGATGAATATATAATCCATTTTGTATCTGTGTATTCAAAGTGGTTAGGATAGATATATAGTTACATTCTCTTAGTGAATAGAATGATTTGTTCTAATGCTGTTTGTAAATAGGATCTCACGTCCGCATCTTGTACAGCAATTAACCACTAAGAAGAATATATGCAGTGTGTTAGTTATTGAAACTGTCTTACTGATTTGATTTGAAACTGTCTCATTGCTATCTGTTTATCAATAAAATTATGAAAAAAAGTAAGTAAAATAAGGCAACAAAATGTTGCTACCTTGAAAAGATTCTTCATGATGTCAGTAAAGTACAAGAAAAAAGAAAAACTTTTGTAAATTTAAGGGAAAACATAACTTCTTTATGCCTTAATCCTCAAATAATTCCAGTATTGAAATTTTAGCCCATTATATTAAAATATCCCAGACTTATCCAAATAAAATGTTTATTAAGGTAACACAGTACATTCTGCTACAGAGGTGATAGCCCTCTCAAATGTTTTTAAAATTATTTATTTATTTTTATTACATTTATTTATTGTGTGTGTATGTGGCCAGCTCAGCCCACCAGGGGGCGGGGCTGGCTGGCATGTGGTGCTGGGGGATTGAGCCGCGGTCCCTGTGCTTTGCCAAGCTTGTTTCAATTAGGTGCTTTAGACCACTGAGCCATCTCTCCAGCCCAAATGTTTTTAATTTAGTTCAAAATGTTATGCCAATCTACAGGGTGTTATTAGAATTTCAAATGAGCCCTTTTCAGACAAGATCTCTCATTAATGTGCCTCACCCCAGCCACTTAAAGTAAGAGTACTGTAAGTCAAGAGAGAAAAGAACTCAGCCCTTGTATTCCCTCGCTGCCTTGGCTTCGCACTTCCCTTTAGCCTGGGTAAGACCTAGCAACCAAGGCAATGAGGAAGATGTGGGCAGGTGGCCACTCAGGAGAGACCCTCGCCTTCCTTAACAATGCTTTTACTTTGGACTGTAAAAATACTTTCAACAACTGAAATCATCACTCAATGTAAAACCAGTTTGTGAGGTTAAAAGTTTATGTCACATGTTTATCGATTTTTAGTGCATCCTGGGTCAGTTGTGACCACTCACAATCACTGGCCACAAAGTTCAAAGGCTCCAGCGTAAGGAGTTTACTTGAAGCTCCTGTGCACCTGGAGGTGATTGAGCTGGTACAAAATAACGATAGCACATAGCTCTGGCCTTCCCTTCACCTCAGGCTGGACACTTGGCTTTATAATTAATATTTTTCCACATGACAAGCTTAGGAGGGGACATCCTCCTAAGACAGACACAACATTTCTCAATTACCTCCCCAAGCCAAAACAGACCTTATCAATGAAAAGGTTGCCTCCAATTCACTTTTTCTAAGTTTTTTGTACTTTTTCATTTTGTCTAAGACTTACAGATGGGCTCATGTTTTGAGGAATGTTGCAGTGTAGATGTTTAAACTTGAAGTTGACCTAATGAACAAGGAAAATCTCCAGTCATAGCAGAATGAAATGACAGCCTTACTCTCCTCAATGTAGAAAGATGTTCCTTCCACTCCTCATGTCCTCCAAGCAAAAAATAGAAATGAGGGAAGTTGGGGAAGGAAAACAACAGCATATATTTAGCCTGTTGAGACTAATATGTGTTTATATTAGTAGTATTTCTACTACTAATGTCCCATAATATGCCCTTCTCCAATTCTCCACTAAGTCTCTGTCCCTATGTCTACCTATGCTCTCCATATTTGATAGAGAACTGGAAAGGTTTTCTATTCTTCAGAGGTGATCATAACTAAGGAAGGTCAGAAGAAATCCAACTGCTATGCCTTCAATAGACGTCCTCCTTAAACATTGTTATGGCTTTATTTATACATCAAACATTTCTTGAATTCGTAATAATCCCTGAGTCACTGGAAGTGCCAGAAAAGTAACAGGATACATGTTTACACAATAGCTAAACAATGGAATATAGTACTATGAGGAGGAAAGATTGGTTCATCTTTCCAGGGAAAAAACAGTTTGCCTTAAGGCGCCAAAACAGTGACTTAAATTGTACATCACACTATCCACTCACCCCAACATTGGCAAATGTTCTAGAATGTGGTGATTTTGACTTATGACAAAGGCAGGAATGATGGAACTCATTTTGACCAATCAACAACCCAACATTTCATTTCTAATGGAATATGCAATGCAAGACTCTCACAGTGTTGGTTGGTTGAGTTTTGAAACCATGGTCTACTAACTCGCTTTGCCCCCTGACCAACTGTCTGTGGATTGGGAAGGAAGCTCTGCCACAGGCTTCCACTGATCGCAGGAAGGGGAGGTGGAGTGAGTGCCCCAGGCTGCAGCTGGAAAACCCTAGAATATCAAAGAGATGGAAAAAAGAGTACTACAGGTAAGAAGAAAAAATGCAAAGGCCAATCCTTTCCTTATGGGACTTCACTGTGAATAAATGTAAATCTTAGAGATGTCGCTAGGTGCATAAGTACACATCCTAGAAGTGGAAAGCCTAAAAGTAGTAGGAACTGTTGCTCATTTACAGGCAAGAATACTGCAGTGGATTTGGGGCACGATATATTTCGATGCTCTTTAGCCTACGACTGGTGGTGAAGCTACGGTATCCGTGCTTCAGCCAACTGTTTGTCATCTCTGAGAGCTCTAAATGGCTTGCCATCACTGTACTATACTCTAAAAATCGTACTTGCCAACATTTGTTTCATAACTTAGCATTAAGTATAATATAAAAAAATCTCGGGGCTGGGGAGATGGCTCAGTAGAATAAGCGCTTGCCTGGCAAGCTCAAGGGGCTGAGTTCATTCCCCGGTTCCACCAAAAAGAAAAAAAAAAAAAAGTCTGGTCTCAATGTGCATCTGTTTACCTAAACATGTCCCCCAAAAAATCTTCACAAAATTAATATTAGATTATTTAGTTCCAGTTTCTTGAGATGCTGGAGTAAAGCTTCCCAAGGTTAAGCTATGAATCCATTTTTTATGAGTGACACAGAAAGACTACTAAAAAAGAAAAAAAAAATGTCTAGAGCGCTTTATGATTACTAGAGCTTATGAGCAAACCATCCTAAGCCTGTTGACATTGTATCAGTTTGTGTCCCCGATTTAGAGACACCAGCTGCCCCCAGTGTCACAACGTATATCTGTTCTTTTTAACTGCTCTGTTTAATGCTGCCGGTACCTATTTCAGTGTTCTCAACATCCGCGATCAGGTTCGGTGGCAAAGCCACTGATGAGGCAAGATTACAAATTGCTGCTTCCTACTCAATTCTTCGTCAAATTTCACGGCACTTTATATCAGGTTCAATTTTCAGTCCTAATTCTTCAGTGAAACACGTGAACATGCGTCACGAGCAGACAAAGCGACAGCCACAGCCAGCGCCGGAAAGCCAGGGGGAGTTAAAGGTCCTCCCGACACCAACCGAGACACCGATGGAGCGGGTTCTGCCTCTCGACGCGTCCGCTAACGCAACAGCAAGCGCTGAGCCTCCGCAGAGCGGGACAGAGCGGGCCTTCACCCTAAGCTCTGATAACTGTGCCAGAATCAGGCTTTCTAGACCAGCACACCAGCTGCTGTTGCAGTTGCGCGCAATCCTCAGAACATGCGCGCCACTCACCAAAGAGCCCTGCTCACATGCGCGTCGCCCAGAGAATTTGCATGCTGATCTCATTAGTGATGAACACGTTTCTGATGCTTTGAGGAAACCATCTGAGTCACTTCCCTTAAAAATGAGGAGGAAGTCCCAGAAACCCAGCCCCCAACACCCAACAGACAGCCTTCCGCCGCACTCTCTGCCCTGAATTTGCTGGTGTCTGATAGGTTCTTCCGCCAGTCTCTGTGAGCCATCCCAGAGCCCCTAGACTCTTAAGTCACCATCTGCTCTAATCCACATACGGCTCTGCACCTCTCTGCTCTGCTCTCTCCTGCTTCTCCCAAAACTCTGAAACTTTCCAGTGCATTCTACCTCGCCGCTCAGCCCACTTCTTATCCTCGGCCTACTCTCTGCGATGCACCCTTTACAGCCTTGCTCTAACCAGATTTTCTTTGAGAGCGCTGATTTCGCTGAAATCTCAAAAATTGGTGGTTTGTCTCCCACAGACTGGGAGCCTGGAGTGGACTGCGTGTCCTTATTTTACTTTTCTGCATTCAGATCATTCTCTTCTCCCGCTTCATGAAGTCCCCAGCTTTAAAGCTCCACACCAGATCGCAGCACACCTGACACTGCTCTTAACCCCCGACCCCCAGCCCCTTCTCCCATATTCCTTGATGATGTTTAGTTTGCTTTAATCCCTCCCCCTGGTGCTACTCCCATCTTACTTCCTGCTCATATGTAATGGGATTGAAAATACACTAACGGTTTAAATTTTAAAAATTTATTATAGTAAAAGACTCCTTGCCATGAAACCCCACCAAAATACTCCCTCTCCCTTCAAATGCGCTTATCCCATCTCTTTGACCTCCTTCTGAAGCAGTCCTGGAAGTTCTTTTTGTTGAGTAGCTTTAGTTTTGCTGTCATGGCTGCCTGGATGTCCTGAACTGAATCAAAATGCTTACCTTTCTTGGTCACTTTGAATTTGCAGAAGAACTAGAATTTGCATAACACCAAATCCAGTGAATAAGGCGGATGAGGACACACTTTTAAGCAACATTGACTTTATTTTTCATTATGCCTTGTAAAGACACAAATGAGAACTTCCAGATCTGCCTCAGAAGGTGGCATGAGTGACAGGATAAGGGCATTCAAGGTGTGTGTGTGTGTGGGGGGGTATATTGGAGGGGTTTAATGGCTGTCTTTTAGTATAATAGTTTTTAATGTAGACATTCACCGTATATTCTGATCATCCTTTATGTACCCCTGGGAACTTCCCCTCCCTGACTTTCATTTTTTTTGGGGGGGGGCATCATTCTTTCAATGATCTTGTCCTCCACTCAATCTCAGGTACTCATTCCTAAGATTTTTAACTTCACCTTTATCCACTCTCTGATCTCCACTTCTTATCTTTCTCACCCATTTCTAGAGTTCTAACCTCTTGGACAGCCAAGCAGTTGACCTTTTTTCCTGTCCCTCAGTCCCCTACCCTTCATTGCCAACTTAAATTACATGGTCAGTCTCTGTAAGCATACCTATGTACCTTTCCCCTTGGCCTTTCCTTTAACTTGATAAAATCACCATTTTGAGCATTCTCTACCTATTCTGATTGGCATTATGTAACTTTAAGTGGCCTTGAAAACACACACACACACACACACACACACACACACACAATTAGTGCATCTATAAAGCCAAATGAATGCTCTTTGTTTTAAATTCATCACCACCATCTTCAAGTTACTGCCAGGCACTAAATGACATTCAGCATCACTATCCCATTCCTTCTCCCAGTATCTCAAGCTATTTCACACTGTCTCCTTACTCTCTTACTCACTTCCCCTATGGAGAGATCTCACCTGGTCCCTTGCCTCCAACTCCCCTGGGAAAATGGAAACAATCAGAAAATAATGAAAATTTCCCCTTATCTACTCATTTTTGACACCTGATCCACATACCCTGCTTTCCTACTTGTTACCATAAATCAACTACCCCTACGTTTGCCTAAGGCCAGTGCTTGCACTGTGCACTAGACCCCATCTCTCTCAGTCAACAATATGAACCTAGCAACTCTTCCCTCGCACATCATCAACTATTCCTCCCTCAGTTCCACTCTGCTCAGCATGCAAACCTGCTATCTCTTTGAAATCTTCATTTCCCCCTTTATTTTCTGTCTTATTTCCTGGCTTCCCTAGGAAGCAAAAGTTCCAGAAATTGTGTGTACTTGCTGTTCCAATTCTTCTTCTATTCCCTCTTAGACCACTCATAACACATTGTTATGCCTACCACTGCACCAAACCCTGCTCTTTCCCCCAGGAGACAGCTCAGTGGCAGAAGTGCCTACCTGGGAAGCACAAGGTTCTGAGTTTGATCCCCAGTACTGGAAAAAAAAAAGTATTCATAACCCTGCTCTTTCAAGGATGCCAGTGGCTGCCTCCTTATTAAATACAGCTGTCAATTCTAAGTCTTCTTCCTTGCCTTACATGTTGATGTGATCACAGATGAACACCCTCTCCCTCTTGAGTCACCTTCCACACTTGATTCCCAAGACACGAAGCTCTCCTTACTTTCCTCTTGCTTCGGTGCTTGCTGTCAGAATCTTTATGCTTATTATTCTGCCCAACCTTTCTACTTTGGCACGCTTGATCGTCTTCTTTATCTCTGTCGATATCTACTTCCCTAGTGACCTCATCCCATCTCACAGCAGTTACGTATCATTTCCATTGCCAGCAAATCTGAAATTTATACCTCCTTTCAAGTTCCAAAGTCTCTTCCTACTCCATACTCACAGTTCAGTCTGGTTGTCTAGAAACCATTTCACTTCCTACACGCCCCGAACTAAACTTTTGATCTGTTCTCATTCAATGGATGCCATACTCATCTTTAAATTCACTCAGGCCGAAAGTCTTAATTTATAACTCTAGTCTTTCACACCTTACATCTAATAACATCCAGATGCCCCACTGGCCTCATGTTCAAATCATAGCCACAATATGACTCTCTTCACCACTTCTCCTCTCCCCCTTCTGAACTACCATCATTCTTGCTGGGATTACTTCAAGAGCCTCCTACTGTTCTTCCTGTATCTACTCTTGCCTCACGCTAACCAGCAGGGGTCTACCAAAATGTTACTTGGACCATATCCTTTTTTCTTCACAGCTCTCCAGTGGTTTCCATCTTGGAGTCAAAGTCTAAGTCCTTCTAACCACCTCCAATGTCATACATAACCTACCCTCCCGTGTGACATCTTTGACCTCATTGGCTATTCTCCTTGTTATCTGACAGATATGCCAAGCAATCTTCTGCCTGGGGCCTTTGCAGTGGTTCTTCTGCCTGGAATGCCCTTGCCCCTGTGAATCTGAACTGTCCCCTCACTTTCTTCAAGTCTTTAGTTGAACATTACCTTTTATAGGACACCTACCTTGACCCTCTTATTTAATAATATCCTACTTCTTTCTTTCATAGCATTGCATTCCATGTGTTTATTATCTGTCTTCTCCTGGTAGAATGTAAGGCTGTTAGGTCAAGGGCTTTTACCTTCTTTATTCATACATATATCACAACTAGATGGAACAATACTTGTCATTAGAAAATGCTCAGCACATAGTTATGGACTGAATAAATTCCTGAGGCCAAACATCATAAAACACAAGTTGCATAAAACAAGTAGAGGTTAGCTTAGATAGAGACTATTTTGGTGGATGTCAGGGAAAAGAATAAGGGATAATGAGGGATTTGACCTTCAGCTTTTGATGTAATTCAGTTGTCAGAAAAGCAGGCCACCAGCCCAGGCTTTTAGGTTAAGCAAGTTAACACAAAGAGCCTCAGTTTAACTGAAATAGAAATGGCCCCTCCTGTAAGATTTGCAGGCGAAGTAAAATGATGTGAAGTTCGCAGCTTGGCGCCTGGGACTCACCGGGTCCTCCGAGATGTAGGTACTATTATTCCTCAAACGCTCAAGAGCTGTTTGCTTCTTCAGTTCGTTGAGAAATCAAGATGGTATATAGTTCCTTCCCTTACCACAGTTCAGAAACAATCTCTGCTCCCCTTAAATGTCATGGAAAATAAAATATCAGTAACTTCCACTAGATGGCACTGTGACCCAGGCTGATTTCAGTGATTTTGAAATACCGTATTATTGTGTAACTGATGCCCTCTGCCGACTTTCCTTTTTCTTGTCCTTGAGACTTTGGCTTAGAAGATGTAAATGGTAGTTCCACGTGCATCCCTGTGCTTGCTCTGTACGAAGACAAACGCACAGCTGACTAAATCCTCCCGCAAAGCTGACACACTGGCATAAGCAGGGGCGTAACACCGACACTGGCACAAGCTCGACACCTACGGGTTTCTGCACTCATGTTCACGGGCCTTTAGCAAACCATAAAGCTTCCACGCCACAGCACAGAAACGGCAGCCTGCTAGCCGCCTCTCCTGGTCCTCCTGGGCTCGCTCTGATCCTCGGCACCTGTGTCAGTCAGCTTCCCACTGCAGCCAGAACCGCCTGAGAGTCAATGTAAAGAAGAGATTTACTTTCAGTCCACGATCCGCAGGCCGCATTGCTTTGGCCCACGGTGAGGCAGAACATCAAGGTGGGGAGTGCTCTGGGGAGCATTTTGTCACTGCGTGGCAGACAGGAAGCCCAGACAGGAAGGGTCCCGATGTCCTTGCAACAGACAGAGCTTTCCCCCGACTAGGCCCCACCGTGACCCGAAGGTTCCAGCACCTCCCAGTAACATCCCAGGCAGGTGGCCACGCTTTTTACACGCAGGCCTGTGGCAAGCAGTTGAGATAAAAACCCAACACAGCTGCCTCCGCATCCCTCTGTTCTTGCTTTCATCTGCACTGCCACCCCCAGCCTGCCCTGCAACTTAGGATGGCACGCAGGGCTGGGGCAAGGAGTGGGGAGGGAGAGGGGCAGGCGGCTTATATGGTGTCATCAAAAGACACACTGAATAATTTGCAAAATTTACTATCAGTAAGGACACAGTGCCAGTTATTCCCCTTAAAATAGTCCCCCTTGCCTCAAACACATTCCACAGTTCTTGACCTTTCCGATAGCTCTGGACATCCTCTTTCATAAGTCTTCAGTTGAGCTGTAATAGCTGCTTCACGTCTTCAATGGATTCAAAACATTTATTTTTCATGGTCATTTCGACTTGGGGAAAGAGCCAGAAGTCACACAGTGACTGGTGCATGAGGACACACTGTAGTTTTTGACAGAAATAGCCATAATCATGTGGAATCAATTCAGGACATCAAGGTGGCCATGTGCAGACACTCACAAGAGAACTTCCAGAACTACTTCCGAAAGTGGCAAGAGCAAGGGGCTACGTTCAAGTCAAGGCTATGAGGGGGATAAACAGAAATGTGTCTTCTATTATAATTTTTGAACGTTCAAGCATTATGTTTAAATCACACTGCATAGGTGCAGGCATCTGAGAGGTTGAGATTTCATTACAATGCTATCGTAACCTTTCATCTACAGGCAATGACACATGGTTGAGTGTAGGCTGTATTTTGGTCTCTAAGCCATTTTCACAGGGCAGCCTCCCTTCACTCTGATTTTTTTCTTTTGGTTGATTCGTTTCTGTGGCCTGTTAATAAGTTCCCTGAGGGCCTACTTGCAGAGCGACCAATTACTACAATGAAAGAGCTAAAGGAGTGATGGCTCTTTCACACACACACACGCTTCATTCTTTTTACTTTTCATGCCTCTGCTCTCTGCCTTCTGCTTTCAGAAAAATCAGACATGATGACTGTGTTAATTTTTTAATAAATAGAAATCATGTCGCTTCATTTGTTGCTGCAAATAATAAGTGAGAGGTAATAATTTCAGAGAAAACCAGAAAGCTTTTCCATCCACAAACTAGCAGAAAGGCCGGACCCTTTTCTATTGACCTGCCTTCTAAGTGCCACTCAGGTCCCTCAACTAGCTGAGGAACCTGGACAAGTCTTCTTTGATTTCAGCTTCATCCCAAGGTCCATGAATGTTTTCCTTAAAAAGCTGCAGGCGAATGAGGTAGAAAGGGCAGAGACAAGAGATGGAAATCAGCAGAAGGGCAAAGAGTACGGCCCCCACGGCGCTGATGGACAGCAGGCCCCCGAAGGCCGAGCATGCAAAAAGCAGCGTGACCCCCACATAGCTGCGGGGAGTGCACGCCTTCAGTTTCTTCTGTAACATGGGCCACAGGGCGAAAATCTGGATGGCAAAGGTGACCATGATGAAGGCATGTAGGGACCGGGGCAGCCGTGAGGCCAGGCAGACAGAAGCAAAAATGGCCATGTTCAGGGACAGAGTGCTGGACACAATGGCAGCATTGGCACCATAGTCGAAGAAGATGAGGTGGCCTAACAGCATAAAGACCGACATGGCGTAGATGGTGTCTGTGCTGACAGACTCAGTCAGGGTTTTCAGCACTGGGGAAAAACCATACGTGAAAGTTATGAAGACAAGGGCACTCTTCAGGTCGGCCCAGCGGGTCCGCCCGCTCTTCTGCCGCCCTTTCCCTCCATCAATGAGATCAAACAGGACATAGCCAATCAATGAAGACGCTAGGCCAGTCCCTAAAAGCCAATGGGGCGCCAAAAGACCCTCGTCCATATACCACCAGATAACCACAAAAACACAGACACTGCACAGCTGTTGTATAACCACACTGGATTCAAATACCACAGCCCAGTATTGGTACTTCCGGGCATAAATGTTCTTCCGGAGCTCCTCCAGGAACCGACGGTCCACGTAGTTATCAGGGAAGGGCTGGCGCTTATACAACACCTTCTGCCATCTGACCTCCTCCGTGCTATTTTCAGATTGGTCACACATTATTTTATCCTTTCTCTCAAACTGGGCAAGTGAATCTACCTTGGACCTGTCCACGTGCTTCCTGTTTTTATGAAGTTTTAAACTATGACTTTTCTGGAAATTCCATGCTGGGATTCTACTGGACTTTCTTCATTTTCAAGGGCAGCAACCCCGGGCGAAGCTTGCAATAATGTTTGTTCTCTGAGGCAACACAACACACACAAGTTCCTAGAAAAAGAAAAACTTGTGAATATGTTTACATGAATGCTGTAAAAGGTCAACAGTGGGATTCAGTTAAAAATCAAACCAACTCAGTTTACTAAAAGTCTAAATAAAATGTATTTGATGGAGCTTACAGTTCAGGGCACTAAAATTGTATTTCATGTGTTTGTTTGAAAATTCACACCTCCATAAACCTAATGACTTTTAAATTTTGTTATTAGTATGTTTCTAATCATGCAGTTTACAACCATCTTGGGGGAGTCCTGACGGGTACATCATAGCTCCTTTCTTTCTTGTTGTATAACCCCTTTTCCTTCCCTCCCCCTCCTCTCTTCCCCTCTGGTTCTCCATGTATTTCATATTTAAAAATTATAATGTCTTGATGAATAGGTATCTGTTAGCTATCACGTGGCTGCCTATGTGCTTTATGTATTTATTTTTATATTTTTATGCCTTACGTACTTTAATTTTCACAACTTTGCAAGTTGGTATTAATCCCATCTTGAGTCCACAGCTCACTCTAATTGCTTAGCTATTCTTGGCCTAAGTAAGAGGAGCAGTAAATGATGAGACCAGGGGCTCGAACCAAAGTCTAATCACAAAGTCCCTGCCTCACCCCATTATATCCATCCAAGGGCGCGTGGTGACAGGATGCACATACCTAAGGTACGAGCTACTGCGACTTATGCAAATTATCGGGACGGAGTCCACAGCTTCGCGTTCCCAAAGACAGCTGATTTTTTTTTTTAAGTCACCGGTTTAACAACAACAAGAAACTGAACAGGTATAGGGATGACCTCTACAGTTTAGTCAAGGTCGAGCGAAAATAGCAAAGGGAGTACAGTCGGAAATACCGGGGTCACCCCGCAAATCTGACCCAAAGCAGCTCTCACGGCCCGACCTTCCTTCTTCCGTGCAGACCGGGACAGGTTTGCTGCGCAGGCCGACGCCGGGGAGCCCCTCCTGCCGCGGGGACCCGGCCGGGCGCGGGGCAGAACCGGGCTGGCCTTTCCCAGGGGCGCCCTAAAACGCCGGGCTTGCTGTCCTGCCGCCGCCACCGCGCCCCGTCCAAACTTAGGTTCGAAGGAACCCCGAAACCCGCACCTGCCCGGACCAGCCACCGCCACTGCCGGAGGAGGAGGGGGCAGCGGTGGCCCCGCCCCTTCCTAGCCGGGCGCCCGGTGACAGCGCCGAGAACTTCCGGCCCCGCTCAGCGCGGGCCAGAGCGCCTTCCGCGCCCGAGCCCGGCGCGCGCTGCTGCCCCCTGCTGGCTCCCCCGAGCCGCAGCCCGAGCCTGGAGCGCGGCTCCCGGGGGAAAAGCGAGGCGCGCAGCGGCTGAGAAGAGCAGCGGCCGGCAGGCACCGAGGCCTGGCCGAGAGGACAGAGGTAGTAGCAGCATTTTCGTTGCACTCCTGTCATAAAGTCAGGCCCTCAGCCGGCGACTTCCCCTGCACCTGTTGTTCCTTGGGCAGTCACCCAGAATTTACAGGTGTCAAGCCCAGCTTCTGTGCTCAGGCTCCTGCAGGGAACAACGCGAACTAAACTCCCAGCTCTCCTGCAGCCGGCTTGCTTGTGCAGCGACCTTGCCTGCGATGACAGCACCAGAAGTGGTAATTGGTCTAACTGGGAAGAGGATGATGGGAGATCAGTAGTACTATTGTGTATGAGTACAAAGCTTTCCTCTTCCCTAAACTTTGTCTCCTTAATAGGGTGGAGGTGAAAACACAGCTTGGAGCAAGAGATTGCTTATAGCCAGCTGAATTCATGGCAGCACTGCAGGACGTAACAGATGAAAGTCATAAAGATGCAAAGGGAGATAGTGAACACAGACTATAACCGACCCAAAAGCCAGAAAATATTTCTTCATCTTTAAAGTGGAGGCAACACTTATTTGAGTTTGGCTATTTTATGGGACGGTTAGAGGAGTGAAATAGAAAAAAACGTTTTGCAAAGTGCACACGATGGCTGCTGTTAGCTTATTTTAAACATCATCAGGATAGCAACGGTCAGATTTGATAAAATCTGAAAAACGACCTCTTTCCATTTCTCCTTAGGCTGCTGTTCCGAAATTTGACAAAGTTCCTTGGCTCAGTGAGGCCAGCCTCACCAACAAGCCTTTAGTACTCAGCCTCCCCAACAGGTAATGGCTCAGCACTGGGGACAAAGCTCTCAAGAAAGGTCTGACATATTTTAAGGTGGGGGCAGTTTTTGGAGGGTTGCATTTGATTACTTGAAAAACAACATCAAGCACTCAAAAAATGCAAATGGCCTGAATTCTCACACAAGGGTAAACTCTGAGTGTAGGTTTGGGCAGGAGATGAGAGCCCCGCATAAGCTTTCCCTGAACCACCACACCCAACATCACAGGAGAAATTTGCCCCTCATTTCTCCCTCTCAAAACACCCTTCTACCATCTTCACTCTCTTTTCTCCTCTAACTTAATTTGAAATTTTCCCAAGTAAACGATCAAGTCTATAACTTCCCACCTTTAGAGCTTAGAGCTCCCTGAGTTTAACTTTGAGACAGTCTCCTCCAATTTCATCTGCGCTGTCTCTTCTAATTAAAGCAGTGTAGAATGTATATTTCTGCTTTGCCAAAGTGGAGGAATTCGTGTGTGAGGACATTTCAGCTTCCACTTGAAATAACTAGGCTTCTTCACTGTTCATTTTTTTTTTTTTTTTTTTTTTTAATGAGATGGCCCCTTAGTGGATATACCCTGTTTTGGAAAAATAAAAGGTTGAAATAGGGAAAAACCAGAACACAGTGCCAGGAGAAGGTGGGGACAAAAGGCAATTCCAGTGACAATTTCATAAGCACAAATAGGCTAGAAAGGGTCAGTTCCCTGGCATGTGGGGCAGCTAGCTAGAAAGATCTCCAAAAGAGTCTTAATTCCTGTTAGTAAACGCCACATTCCCTCTTGCAAATAGATAGGTGCCTCTCCATAGGGACATCCCATCACTCTCTCCAGGACATTTCTACTTCAGCGACATATAACCTTTGTTTTGTTGGCTGCACTTTAAAACACCACAACCTCAGTGAACAATTTTGTGATTTTCCAGAGTAAATGCACAAGTCCAGAATGTGCATTTCTTTTTTATCCCTTACATATCTTAGAATATATCTAAAACTGACAACTAGAGATTTGTTAAACCCAGAGCCTTGCTCGGGAAATGGAAACATGAATATAGTTCTCTTTAAGAGTTATTAATAATTCAGAAGTCAGCATGAATTGTGTCACTTCAGCATCTTTTAATTGGTCTTGGGGCACAAACTCATATGCTGATGATGGGTAGCATGACGTGGAGGGCTGGCCAAAGCAAGTCTGCAGTGACTGGGCCGTCATCCCCTGACCAAAGGTGATTCATAGCCTGCCCTCTGCCCCAGTCAGTGTTGCCTGTGGGGATGCCAGTCCAGAGGCCAAATCTGCTGGCTTGCCATCCAGAAGTCTTGAATTATCAAATGTGAAACTGTTAGCGTTCAACACCCAATAGGCTAAACTCCCACCATCCCACACGACCCTCATTAGACCTTTTCCTACAGCCAGTAGCAAAAAACATCCTGTGTACAGTTCTCTTGCTTCTAGTGCCCTCGTTCTTCAATTATATATGTTCTTTAATTATATATGTTCGTTAATTATATATGTTCTCTAATTATATTGGTAGAGGGAGGAGAGCATGGAACAGGGAAGGGTTTGAGAAAGTCAGGTGCAGGACACAGCTGGGCATTCCAGCACCTGTTCTCTCTCACAGCCAAGTGATGGAGTGTCAGGACAGTCTATGGCCAGCATCTGGGAAGAGAAGGAATAGATTTTCTTCTAGCTGGACCAATGAAGGCAATGTTGGATGAGGAGAAATTACCTAAGGTGGACAGTAAAGGTTTGCTCATTTCTTGGCTTTAAATTCAACCCCTGTTTAGAGAAATGGAGCCTACTGATGGGACTGCCACCCTTGAGGTGCCCTGAGTTCTCAGGGGACAGAAAGGCCAGGAAAGTCTTTGGGAAGGAAAGGACAGTTCTTAAGGGTCAGAATATGTGTCCCAAGTCATTCCTTTATGGTCAGACCCTTTTCTGAGAAGTTGGAGGAGCATTCTCAGTGTGCTCCAAGTAGTCCGAACCTTGGCCCGGCTCTGAAAGAACTGCCTGCCAAAAATAAAGGAACACTTGATGATGCATGTTTAGAGCACCTCCACGTGGGAGCTTTGGAGACACCTGCGTTTGCCCCAGCAGGACTCTCCCAGCTTGGCCTGACTGTGGAAGCCATGCTCGTCATGAGCTTCCAAAGCCCTTCAGGTCACATCGAGTCCTGTTTAGGGGAGATGAGGGTGCACTAAAGTTCCAAACTGGCCTGCTAGTAGGTCCTGGGCAGCCTTTGGGAGCCACATGCAGCCCATTCCCACATATAGACAAAGTCTGGACGAAGAATTCCCTCTTCTCGTGAAGCCCAGGGAAGGGAAGTGGAGAAGTGGTGAAGCAATGGCTGCTTTGCAAACACCGAGCTCAGTCCGCATGCCTTTGCTTCACATGAACAATGAACAGTGAAATCTCTCCTCAACAGAAAGGAGAGGTGTTCTTGGCACAACTCCCAGAATTCCAAGTTTCCATTTCTTGGTGGCCAGGAGCGTGTATCATGCTGTGCACTCAGGCAGGGTGCAGTCACCCAGTCTCTGCAGGCCTGGGCTGCTTCCACTGTAATAAAATGAATGTCATGGACAAGGGGGACAGAATACAGATAAGCTACCCTGTGAAGAGGGTTGGCACTGTCTGGTACAATCCCCATGTCACCTGCTAGGGAGAGAATTCTTGAGAGGAGTAGTGACTAGAATGACAATGTTCCGTGTGAGGAAACAAATAAGATGGTTTCAGTAGGCAGGGACACTAGTGTCAGTCATGAAAGGACAGACACAAGTTAACTATCAAGCATGTCATTCAGTGGAGGTCTTTTCACAGGTACCTGGGCACATCTCACCATTCACTCATGTGTTTATGAATGACCTTCCTCCTGCATTACTGTGCACTCTTGTCAACCTAGCTCTATCACTGGTTAGCCCAAGACAAATGAAGTGCGGAGCAAAAGTGATAAAGGAGGGCAATCTTTTAGCAGCCCATTAAGGGCTTGAGCTTTCCAGCGCTGGAGTGGGAGGCAGCTCCAGCCCCAGCTGTCCCTGGGGCTCTCTAGGAACCAAGCAAGGGCTTGGCTCTGCACCTGGAGGCCGTGCTTCTGAATTTTTCTTGCTTTGATTGCCTTAGATCTTACTCCTCTGCCACTTTTCTGACTTCACCGAGGGGACATGTGAATTCACCTCTTCTGTTTCAAGGCCCAGATGTCTCATCTAAGGTACTTGATCTTTTTTAATTGACATGAAGTGAACAGCAGCTCTAGAATGACAGAGGACTTGAAAACATTTCCTTGCTTCTCAGCACAGCCCAGGGCCTGCTACATTTGCGTGTTCAGTAAGTATTTGTTGAATTAAATGAATGGGCATTAGCCCCTCACTGTTGTCTCAAATGCCTAGGAATTCATTCCACAAAGTAAAGAATAAAGTAATAAGGTTAAGGGCAGGGGATATGGCTCAGTGGAATAAGCACTTCTCTGGCAAGCGCAAGGGCCTGAACTCAATCCTGGTTCTGCAAAGAAGAAGAAGAAGGAGAAAGAGGAGGAGGAGGAGGAGAAGAAGGAGAAGGAGGAGAAGGAGGAGGAGGAGGAGGAGGAGGA